GCTTCCATTTGCATTTATTTCATTACTCTGAGTATGAAAATGTTATTGGTTATTTATATTTATTCTCTAGTGATTGTTTTTCATGTCCTTTTGCCATTTTTTTTCCTGTTGGGCACTTATTTTTTGAATTTTTACATATCTTTTTTCATACTAAGGATTTTAACCCTTATCATATGTATGTCTCAGTTTGTTCTTTGGCTTTTCATTTTTTTAAATCAGATTTTATTTTTTAGAGCAGTTTTAGATTCATAACAAAATTACGAGGAAAGTACAAAGATTTCCATACGCCTCCTGCCCCAACAACATGCAAAGCCTCCCCATCACCAACAACCCCACCAGAGTGTTAGGTTTGTTACATTTATAACAGTGACACTTCATTATCCCCCCTAGTTTATATTAGGATTCATTTGGTGTTGTACATTCCATGGGTTTTAACAAATGTATAATGACATATATCCACCACTATAATATCATACAAAGTAGTTCCACTGCCTTAAAATTTTTCTGTGCTCCACCTATTCACTCCTTCACAGTCCCAATCTCTGACAACCATTGATCCTTTTACTACTATCTACATAGTTTTGCCTTTTCCAGAATGTCATAGACTTGGAATCATATAGTGTGTACCCTTTTCAGATTGACTTATTTCACTTTTCTCCATACCTTTTTCATGGCTTGATAGCTCATTTCTTTTTCTTGCTGAATAATATTCCATCATCTGGATGTACTGGTTTGTTTATCCATTTATCTGCCAAAGGACATCTTGGTTGCTTCCAAGTTCTGGCAATTATGAGGGGCCACCAAAGGGCAGCGTTAATTTCAACCTCCCTCCCCCAGTCCTCCCCACCTCTACTCCACATGCACACAGCAGGATTTTTAAAATCACACAGCGCCCTTCCCAAGGCGCTGTGTCCTGTGCACCCCATGGGACAGGCTAAGGTTTACAGAAACCAGATCCAGGATGGACACTCACTCTGGCAGAGTCCAGGGCGAAGGCTTCTGCTCCCCTGCTGTGGTGGAAGGACTGGGGCCCTAAGGGGGAGAACCCTGGAAAGAGGGCCCCACACATACCTTCTGGCAGCAACTTGCCTCTAGGCAAAAGTCTGCTTAAACCCTTTTACAACTCCTGCGGGGAAAATTATTTGCATTAATTAATTGACTAATTAATTCCAGGCACTATACTTGGAACCTACAGCTGGGGTTCCATTGACATACTGTTCAACTGACTCAAAAGGCTTAGAAGGAACAAAAGCAAGAGCCAACTTAGAAGTTTGGATATTTAAAAATGTTAGAGTCTGGCCGCACTGTCTCTTTGACCTAGAGAACCACAATTCAATAATTTTGGAGGAAGGGAATTCCCATGCAGTGGTTAGGACTATGCTTCCACTGCAGGGAGCCTGGGTTGGATCTCTGGCTGGGGAACTAAGATCCCACATGCCTTGAGGTACAGCCAAAAAAAAACCCAAAAATAATAATTTTGGAGGTTTCTTCCCTCCTGCTTGAGCTTTTTCTGAAAACAGACACTTCCAGTATGTATCAGTTATCTATAGCCCTATAATGGAGGACTCCAACAAAACTTAGCAACTTAAAACCCACTGCGTTTAATTTGTTCGCAGTTCTTCTGGCTGGACTGGGCCAAGTCTAACCATTCTGCTGGGCACTCTGGGGCCTTCTCAGGCAGCTGTCACCAACTGGGGGCTCAGCCAGGTACAGGGTCTGACATGGACTTGGTCCATGAGGTTAGGAGACTGTGGTGCGTCAGCTGGATCTCTCTCTCCTTGTGGTCACTCATTTGTACCTGCGCTTCCTTACATGGTGGTTCAGTTCAGTCGCTCAGTCGTGCCCGACTCTTTNCCAACACCATAGTTCAAAAGCATCAATTTTTTGGCACTCAGCTTTCTTCACAGTCCAATTCTCACATCCATACATGACCACTGGAAAAACCATAGCCTTGACCAGACGGACCTTTGTTTGGTGGTAGGAGTGTGCCAAGTGGGAGAATGCAGAAGCCTCTTGAGGCCAGGCTTTGGAGCTCACAGGATGTCACTCACACCATATCCTATGGATTAAAGCCACTCAAAAGACCAGCTCAGACTCAGGGGTGGAGGAATGGACACCACCCTAGGAATCTGAGGCCATATTTAAACTCCCAACTCTGTGCCTGACATTGCTGTGATTATTAGGTAGACAACACATGTGCTATGCTTTGTGATGACAGAGTTGACTTTTCTTATTCATTTCTGTTTTTGCATGTCTGTGATCCTCAGAAAGAAAATGCTGTATTTCTTAGAGTTTAGCATCTTCTTTGTACCTATAAAACAGTTTTAACTTCTAGCATATTGAGTTATTGCCCTAAATAAACCTTCCTTATAATTTTAATGTACCACACATAATAATTTTATGAACAAGCCAGGTTATATGCATCACATATGAATATTCTTAAAACCAAAGTGCTTTGCATGTGTAAAAAGATAAAAAAAATAAAAATTATACATATTTCAAATTTCCCAAGATTTTATTTCCATTTTTTTTTCTATGACTTTAAAATTCCCAGACATTTAAAATTTTCATCCCAGGTACGGGTATTAAATCTCTGTGTCCTGTGCCAGGCCTGTGCTGGGAGCTGGAGATGCAGAAGAGCAAATGAGATACAGCCCTTAACCCCATGGCAATGGATCTTGAGGCAGAAACAGATGTGGCCCTTGGTGACCTAGATGACTGTACAGACATCTGCTACTTCAGGCCCGAAATAGCGAGAACCAAGGCTTCCATCAACTTTGCTCCAGTTTGAATGGTGGAACCCCAGCTGCAGGTCCCAACACAAGGTCTTGAATTAATCAATCAATCAATTAATTAATGCAAATAATTTCCCCCACAGGAGTTGTAAAAGGGTTCAGGCAGACTTCTGCCTGGGGGCAAGTTGCTACAGGAAGGTGTTGTGGTCAGGCAGCCCTCTCTCTGGGGCTCCTTCCCCTCAGGGCCTCAGTCCTTCCACCACAGCAGGGGAGCAGTAGCTTCAGCCAGGGACTCTGCCAGAGCCGGTGTCCATCCTGGATTTGGCTTCTGCAAACCATGGTCTGCCCCGTGGGGTGAGCAGCACATAGCATGTTGGGAAGAGCATGCAGATTTTAAAGGATAGTGCTGTGTGTGTGTGTGTGTGTGTGTGTGTGTAGTGGCGGTGGGGAAGGGCTGAGGGAGGGGGCCTTGTGGGGTGAGCAGCACATAGCATGTTGGGAAGAGCATGCAGATTTTAGAGGATAGTGCTGTGTGTGTGTGTGTGTGTGTGTGTGTGTGTGTGTGTGTGTGTAGTGGCGGTGGGGAAGGGCTGAGGGAGGGGGCCTGGAAATAATGCCACCCTTTAGTGGCCCCTCTCCGGCTAGGCTTGGAGGTGAGCCCGGATGGGCCGGCCCAGTCGGGAAGCATGCCAAGCACATGCTCTCTGGCCACTGCGGCCTCATTGTTCAATAAGCAGATTATGAAATGCTGCGAGAAGCTGCGTGGTGGGGGGCTGTCTTCAGCCCTGCGGCCTGCCTTGTTTTGCAAACAATCATTGCACAGTGCAGCCCGGTCAGGGTCCCCTCGGGAGGACAGGGAATCCGTCAGCCTTTTTGGGGCTGAGTTTGTCGTGTGGCCGCGTGCTTCAGCTTGTCTGCCTTCCTCCCGGTCCGGCTGTCTGTCTTCACCCGAGTCTGTTTCCTGGGAGACCCCAGGTGCCCCTCAGAAATGGGAGGACTTGGCTCCACCCACCTCCTTAGGCAGGTAGGGAAGAACAGCACACCAGTCCCAGTGCTGTTCTAGAAACAGCAAAGGGTCTAAGGCCAGTCTTCCTCTTTGAGGAGTTTCCGAATTAGACAGATGGTGCATGAACAATCCCGAGTAGCTTCCTTTGGAGACCTGGTGCCCATCTGAGGAAGAGGTGCCTTCAGATTAATTGCCTCCGACACTTTTATGTTCTTGGCTTAAACAGGAAAAGCGGGATAAAGCGACTGCAGTCTTAGCTCTGCAGGATGCTGGGGTTGGACCGATGTTTGCCTTTACTGTGACTATATTTTAGCAGTTATCTGCTAGAGTTTACTATGAAATCTCAAGAGACAGCATTTTACCTGAAGTGTAGCTGATTCCATGAAATAAAATATTTTGCAGCCGAGGGTCCAAATAAAACAATGAATTTCTTAAAGAGGCAGAATAAAAGAATGGGGTGGTATTGCTGAACTTTGAACTGAGACGCCATCGAATACACTGGTAACGATGTGCGCCACAAAGCTTGGGTTCAAATCCCAGCTCTACCACCTGCTAACTGTGAGACCTTGGACAAGTTACTTAACCTTTCTGAGCCTTAGTTCCTGTTCTGTACAATGGGGATAATAACCGCTCATTTCCTAGGATTATTGTGAAGATTATATGTGATAAAAAGCACGGGGCAAGTGGTTAGCACAGAGCCAGGCTCAACTAAGTGTTTACTGTTAGTATTAATAGCATTACAGCCGAAATGTTTCCTTATGGAACCAATATTTTTTCAGGGAAATACTGAACCAGTGTGAACCCAAGTGGAAGCCCAATGCTGTCTAAAACGGTCATGAAACAGGCTTCTTTTAGCAAGACTTGAAAACCAGGGTGCCCAGCACCAAGCACTGTTCATTCTACTAGAAGGCCTGTTATTATCTTCACTTTGCAAAGGAGGAAACGAAGGTTCAGAGAGGCTTGCTAACTTCCCCCAGGGTCACACAGCAAGGGCTCAAACCCAGTCATTAGGACCTCAACTGTCATTATGACAGCCTAGTGCCTTTACAGAGGTAGACAGAATTTGGTCACAAAAAGTGCTGTGATGGGATTCATTAATTCATTCATGGCTGTTCATGGAGAACCTCTCTGTGCACGATGTGCTCCGGTTTGTCTCTGAGCAGACACACATGCTAAAACGGTTTCCCCAAGCCTTCCCTGCCCTTCCCCCCATGACTGCATGACTGACACGTTGGCCCTCACATGACTTGCTCCACCAGCTCCCCCTCCAGCATGGATGCCCACCTGCAGTTCCCGGACGGCAGCGGCCTCCTGCAGCCCCCGCGCTGGGATGAGCCGCAGAGGGCCAGCGCCCTGGAGCAGATCTGTGGCGTGTTCCGAGTGGATTTGGGCCAGATGCGCTCCCTCCGCCTCTTCTTCAGGTGAGGCCCTCTTGGCCATGTCCTGGAAGCTGCCTGTGCGCCGGCCGTGTTCCCGGGGGGGGGNCGTGCTTGGGTCTAGGAGCCTGACGTTCCCAACCGTCTGCTTCCCAGCATCATTAGTGCCCTCTCGGCAGTGCCCCATGGTGGCTGCCCTGCGGGAGCCGGGTCTGGGTAGCTCCCAAACTCTTTCCTCTGCCTTCAGCGTGATGGTAGCAGCTGTTGCTTGCAGCTCTGGTTTGGGGGAAGATGACAAACCGGGGCTACACAGACAGCAGTGGCTGCAGGCAGTTCCCGGTCACCCAATCAGAGGCCCAACCGCTCCATGCATGTTCAGGACAGGCTATGGCTTTCTAGAGGGAGGCACCATTTCCTTCATGATGGGGGACCATCCTTTTCAGTCCCCCGCCTAACGGCCACCTCATGTCTCTCTTCCTGAAAGCTGCAGGACAGCACCAGCCAAAGACCAGTGCTTCAAAGAAGCAGTTGTGTCTCTGTGGGGGTTCCCAGACCCAGAGCCCCATCCCGCCTTTCAGGGAAGGGCAGTCAAGGTCCCGAGGCATGTATAGTGGATTTCCCTGGAGGATTTTCCCAGAGTGACTTCTGTGCTCGATGGAAAGCCCACTGGAGGGGAGTCCCTTAGTGCCCACCCATCTGGGTTCTAAATCTGATTCCATGTCAGGGCATCCACCCCTAGGAGATGGATGATATGATATCATGATATCTCCATGATATCTGCATGATACCCAGGACAGAAGGGAGGATGTGGCCTGGCCAGCAGGGGCGGGGACTGAAGGCTGCTCTGGCAGATCTCCCGGGCGAGGACAGTCCCACCTGGGGCCTCCCCAGGAGGGAGCTGCTTCGCCTTCTTCAGCAGAGGGTGATGGCTTCTGTGGGGACATAATTCTGTCTGCTTCCTGCCAGCAACCAAACTCCTGGGGGACTTTCTGTTTCCTGCCTCTGAGGTCGGGTGATAGCGGCCTCGATTATACTTGGAAATAAAAACCCATGTTTACATATTCATGGGTCTGTTCTCTTCCCCCCCATCCAATGGTCGCTCAGCGATGAGGCCTGCACCAGTGGCCAGCTGGTCGTCGCCAGTCGGGAAAGCCAGTACAAGGTGTTCCACTTCCACCACGGTGGCCTGGACAAGCTGCCTGACGTGCTTCAGCAGTGGAAATACTGCGCGGAGACGCACCTCAAAGACCAGGTAGCCAGGGAGTGGGGAATGGGTGCTGACCTCCCCCCGTGAGGAGGCCCTGACGCCACCCCGGAGACATCTGGCTGCTGAGACCCACCCTTCCGCTCCCCTCCCTTCCTGCCTCACCTCCAACCAGGCCCAGAACACCCACTCTCTTCCTTGGAGTCCCAGGCCTCAAGGGTGTGACCTGTGGTCACTGGGGGCCAACAGAATAGCAACTTTGGGTTTAAAACATGTGCCCAGGCTTCTGGTAAAGGCAGTACTCCGCACTTGAAAAATCATGTTTTGACAAGGCTTCCTGCCATATTTTCCTCAATCTACATACAAATGTAATAAGAGCTCTTTAATTATCTGTTTAAGATAGTGTATGTGCTTATTAGAAACGGGCTGACTTTAAAATTCCTTTCCTTCCCACAGAGCCTCCTGCTGGCTTCCCTTATTACAGTAGCATGGCTTTTTTTTCCCCCTACATTGAACAACCTTTGATTTTTGAATTAAATGTCAGCTGCAGTTTTGCCCTGGATCCGTGACTGCCCGTGGAGACAACCTGACAGGCGGGCTCCCCGCTCGCAGAACAGCCATCCCTTTGTATGTGGCCAATCACATGTAATTTATTGCAGGCCCTCCCGGCAGAGGGAAGTTGGCCGTCCCAGGCATTAATTCCGTCTTTGCGGCGGGGCCGGAGGGAGAGTGGGGGGGAGAGAGGCGGTCGGTGGGAGTGGGCCGGGAGCCGGGAGCGCGAGGGGGGACCATGGTAAGCGGACGGTATTTTCATTTTAATTGCGTCTAATTACACTTGCCATTTAGGGGTTTGTATGCGGGGGAGAGGCGTCCCTCTCCTTTCAGAAGAGGGGAGGGGGGGGGAGGCGTTGACATCCCGCGAAGAGCGCGGGCTGGCTTCGAAAGCCGAGCGTCTGAGCCACTGATACACACCCCCGACCCCCCGCCCCGACGGTCCTCGCGTCCAGCAGGTCGCCGACGAAAAGACGTGTATGCAGTTCTCCATCCGGCGTCCCAAGCTGCCGTCTTCCGAGACGCACCCCGAGGAGAGCATGTACCGACGGCTGGACGTGGCGGCCTGGCTCCGCCACCTGAATGCTCTGGGGCAAGTGGAAGAGGAGTACAAGCTCCGCAAGGTGAGGCCCGGCGCGCCCGCGGGCCCCGCGGCCCTGAGGCCAGCGGTCGGGGCCGCGCCCACGGGCCGCCGCCTCCGGCCGGGTTTCGGGGGCGGGAAGAGGTCCGTCCGCTGACGCCAGCGGCTGTGTGAACGCGCCGGATAGAGCGATCAAAGCCGCTGCGATGAAAAAGCAACCTCCGGAGCGGGTTCTGGGTACCCCGCGACAGCGTGTATAGAAGAGCTCGCAGCCCGCGCCCGCGATTCCAAAACCGGGATTAAGGCCCTGACGTGAGAACGACAGGTTAATCTGAGCGCCGCACCAGGGGGGGGCATTGACATTGAAATGAGCCTGGTTTGTGTCCTGTATGGGAATGGGGGGCCGGCACTTTCCCCTTCTAAACATGTGCAAATTGCAGCGATCTGAATCAAGGCATCAGTTGTCAAGAAGGCGCAGCAAAGCCACCAAAACAGATCTCCGGGGACTTGGGGGTGCTTTGAGCGGTCCTGCTTTGGCCCCTCCCCAACTTTTGCCGCTTCCTCCAGGCCATTTTCTTCGGCGGCATTGATGTGTCAATCCGAGGGGAGGTCTGGCCCTTCCTGCTGCGTTATTACAGCCACGAGTCTACGTCGGAGGAAAGGGAGGCGCTGCGGGTGCAGAAGAGAAAGGAATACGCCGAGATCCAGCAGAAAAGGTGACCGCGGCGCCCGACCAGGGCCCCCTCGAACCGCGGAGGGGAAACCCCCACCCCCCCCTCCGGAGCCGCGGAGGGAAATGCCATTTGGAAAGGCAATTTGAGGTGCAATTCAGCATTGATAATATGTTCCGTGACCCATAGTTTCCTTGGAAAATGGGTCTCCCAGGACCGTGAGCGATGGGTCTGGATAAGTGCAGTCATTACCCCCGCTCCCGGCCCCAGGACTGGCTCTCTTTAGCTCGCATGTCAAGGTTTTAGAATTCTTTTTCAACATACTTAACGAGGCGCTGACATCCCACCACTGAACGCCGGGGTGGCAGCGGGGCGGGGGTCGAGGGGAGGGCAGCTGGGAACTGGGGTTGCTGAGGTCTCTTGGACCTTCCTGACCCTGTAGTTTCGGTAGCTCTCCCCCAGACGCTGGGGCTGGTGAGGCCGAGTTAATTTGGGAAAGCCTTGTGCACAATGCCCCTACGCTGCCGGGTGTCAGGGGCAGCTGGAGGGTTGGCCAGCGACCCCAGTTCCCATCTTCGAGCAGGGCAGGGAGGGGCGCCTCTGGTGGCCTGGAGCGGGTGGGACGATTGCTGACCCCCCGGCTGGCTCTCTGGTCCGTGCCAGGCTCTCCATGACCCCTGAAGAGCACAGAGCTTTCTGGCGGAACGTGCAGTTCACCGTGGACAAGGATGTGGTTCGGACAGATCGGAGCAACCAGTTCTTCCGAGGCGAAGGCAATCCCAACGTGGAGAGCATGAGGTACCGCCTACCCGGCCAGCAGGGTTCCTTCCCAACTGGGTTTCACTCCCATTTGCTGCCCCGGAGCCTCATCTCACCCCTCAAGTCTCAGCTGACCCTCTGGGAAGTAGACCAGCCGCAGAAGCTTCTGCAGGGGTCAAGGATCTTCCTTCTAGGTTCAGTGCCCCAGAATCAGAGAGTCCTTAGCTATTTCAGACAATGTCAATGGGCCCCTTATTGTCCTAGTGACGCAGGGGAAGGCGTGGAAGTCCCTCCCAAAGGTACCAGCAAAGGCCCCGCCCCCTAGGCATCCACCAAGCCTAACCTTTCTTGGCCCACACCAGCTGTGAACCCGCCTCTCCCGAGTGTCTCCCTCTCCCATTGGGTGGTCCTCTGGGAGATCAAGTCTCACAGGAGCTGAGGCTAGCATCTTTGACGTTCTGCTGCCTCCTGGCAAATAATTGCACAAAATTAGAAGCCCATAAAAAACGTCCCTGCCAGCCCGCCCTTTGTCACAGGCAGTCGACCATTAAGAAAATCAGATCCACATTTCTCCTTGCTCTGCTCTAGAGGATTGGGGCTGGTGAGTGCCTAAGTGCAGCCTCTTACCTTTCCCCAAGCTCTGGAGATGATGCTGGGAGCTGCTCTCCTTCCTCTAAGATCAAGGTGAAGGATGGGGTCCAGGAGAGCCCAGAGTCTCCAGCCTGGGGTTCTACTGGCCCGGACAACACACTGCTATGTTATGGCCACCCTCCACTGACCTCCCTGCTCTCTGCACTGCGTCTCCAGGAGGATCCTGCTGAACTATGCGGTGTACAACCCAGCCATCGGCTACTCCCAGGGCATGTCGGACCTGGTGGCCCCCATCCTGGCTGAGGTCCTGGACGAGTCAGACACCTTCTGGTGCTTTGTGGGTCTGATGCAGAACACAATCTTTGTCAGCTCTCCTCGGGACGAGGACATGGAGAAACAGCTGGTGAGGCTTTCAGATGTGTGTGGCTCGGCTGATGTGGGTCACCAAGCAGCAGGAAAGCCAAGGTGGGCCTTGCTGGTGGACTCTGGGGGGCTTAGCCCTGGGCCCATGGACTAGGGCCAGCTCCCCCAGGAGGGACACACGCTGTTCCCAGGTCCCAGGACATATGCTGCCATCCCCACCTCACACTCCTGCAGTCCAGAAGCTCCTCATGTGGCCTCCCCGCTCCCTGCATGTGGCATCCTAACCCAGGTTCCCAGGGGGGAAGGGGTCACTATCACACCTGGCTCTGTGCTTTATAAAACATGTTCTCAGGTGCATCTGGGTCCCCCACAGGGGACATAACCAGGGTTCCGAGGGATGGGAATGGGAGGGGCTCTTGAAACTACCCTGAGCCCACTTGATAGTCATCACAGCCCCACCTCGAGGGCAGCAGGCCTGTTGTGCCCAGGCAGTACTCCTCCCACCATGGCCCCTGCTAACCTACACAGACCAGGCAGCACTGAAAATTGGGAGTGAGGAGGCAAAACTGGGAGAGGTGGGGCCAGGAGTGCCCACTCTTCCCTTCCTTGTGCCCTCCAATCACCTGTCAGGTGCTGCTGGCACTAGGATGTGGTCTCGGGTCCCCAGTCTGAGAGATTCTCAGCCTGGAAGCTGATAATGCAAGGGCTGGATGCTGGGTATGCTAGGGAGTGATACAGAAAGAGCTCTGGTGATAGAGAGGGAACCAAGACAGGAGTCCCAGTGTCCCCTTGGGCCAGGCTGACNGAGATTCTCAGCCTGGAAGCTGATAATGCAAGGGCTGGATGCTGGGTATGCTAGGGAGTGATACAGAAAGAGCTCTGGTGATAGAGAGGGAACCAAGACAGGAGTCCCAGTGTCCCCTTGGGCCAGGCTGACTCCACGGCACACGGGGTCTGGCCCTGAGCATTGCCAGGCCTGCCAAGACTTGGCTGAGCAGGGCTTTTTGGGCAGCGACACTGGGTGGCCCGCTCAGGTTGGTGGCTCACATGCAATGAGGCTGGAGCTGAATGGAAGGCCTCGAATGCCAGACCAAGGAACACTCCTGTCGACTAGCCATTGGGAAGCTGATGAGGGCTGTGGATGGGAAAGCAGGACACAGCAGGGGGATTGGAGGAGAGGGAGCCAGGAGCAGGGAGATGGGGATGAAAGGGGAAGGTAAGGGGCACCAAAGTAGGGGTGGGTTGCATCCATGAGGGAGGGAGGAAGGGGGTCAGCTGCTTGTGTGGACTTTTTGACCCTGCTGTGGGCCAGTGGGTGAAGAAACTGGCCAGTCTGTAAGGATCTTCTGAATCAGTTTCTGTGCCACCCCAATGGCAGTCTCAGTAGGAACAATGGGCTGTTTGTGTGGGAAGGGGCCTGTGAGTCACCAAGACACCCCCACCCCCCCGCAGGATCCCCCGGCTGCGATCTCAGCCGAGCCTGCTCACTCCCCGCTCTCTGTGTCGGCCCTGTGATGTCAGGTTTCCACGGTACCTGGGGAGGCAATTACGGGCTCTGACGTGATTCGCCACTGACGGCTCCGCAGCACATGGCCCCGTGACTCGTTAGCTGCTGGAGATCGATTTTACAACAGTGCTGGTGAAGTCAGCAGCCCAAGCCAGGCGCTGCCAGAAATAGCCTTAATCTGGTCCCACGTCACTGGGTGGTGACCTGAAGCACAGGAATTGAGCCTCTCAGGGTTCAGAAACGCCCCCACTCTCTGCTCTGAATCAGCTCTGGGAGATGATGAATCTAGGTGATCGGAGCAGAAGGTGGTTGAGTGGGTGAGGGGGAGGGGGCGTTGTCAAAAGGGTGCTTTGCTCGATATCTCAGGGAGGAGGGGGCATCAGAAACGGTCCATGTGGTGCCTGAGAGCCAGAGGTCTTCCTAGCCTCAGACCTGCCACCCACCTCCTGGGCCACAGCAGGCTGCTCTCGCTGTCCCTTGCTACAGCCTCCGGAACAGTCTGAAATCTGGGCTAAACTGACCAAGACAGATGTGAGTCGGACTTCCAGGGACAGAACAGAATAAGTGGGTGTAGACCCATGAAGCAGATAGAGACCTCATGTGTGGCACACCTGCTCTGAGGGGTGGGGGGGCCCCAACGGGGAAGGGCCTCGGCGGGAGGGGGCTTCTGGGGCCAGGCAGGCAGGCCCGCTCGGGGCTGGGGGGCTCATTCCTCTTGGCCTCGCCCCCAGCTGTACCTGCGGGAGCTGCTGCGGCTGACCCACACACGCTTCTACCAGCATCTGGTCTCGCTGGGCGAGGACGGCTTGCAAATGCTCTTCTGCCACCGCTGGCTCCTGCTGTGCTTCAAGCGGGAGTTTCCCGAGGCCGAGGCGCTGCGCATCTGGGAGGCCTGCTGGGCCCACTACCAGGTGAACCAGGCAGGGTGCCCAGGGCTGGGGGCTGGGATAGCGGTCCCACACCTGGCGTAGGAGGAGGGCAGGGTGCCCGCATAACCAGTCACCTCCTCTGGGGTCCCCTTGTTCCACCATCCCTGGCCCCTCACAGGCCACATTCAGCCCCTCACACGGCGACTGCCTTCTAGTCCCACGTGGCCAGCCTCCGACCCCGCATCTCGCCTCCCAAGTAACTGAAATCGATGCAAATTGCCCGCTGACCGCGCTCATTACCACGTTCTGGGGCTGAGCACACTCCTGTCATAACCAATCAGCATGAAAGACTTTGCGGGACCAAGCAGGACGCTGGTGCCCACATGCCAGGCCCAGCACCCACCCTGCCCACCTCGGGATGGCTCAGGGAAAGGGCCCCGAGATCCTGCTTCCCTGCCAGCCCCTCTGAGAGCCCAGGCCCCACCCACTGTCGCCTTGCAGGGACGTGATTTCCCCTTGTCGTCCTTCGTTATCAGCATCTCCTCAACAAATTCCCCTGAGAGGGCCTCACGCTGGCCCTGTCACACGGCTTTAACGCCCAAATTAGCAACAAGCAGGCCATGTTAAAGGATAGGCAAGTCTCTCTGAATCCATCAGCCTTAAGGAAAAAAAAAAAATAGTACTGACGCATCCAAGAGGTGGCCAGGACCATTTCTGCAAGAGCGGCCTCCATCCTTCATTCGGCAGCTGGCGCAGCTTGGATTAGACAAACCTTGCTGATAGATGCGCACACCCACCAGCCCTCAGAAATGTGCATCAGCGTCTGCCTTCCTTACTAGTGTCGAAGAAGGATTATGTCTGATAGAAGTGAGTCTGAAGAAGCCTGCTGCTGGTGCCATGGGCTGTTTTGTATTCATCCATCCTCGCCCACCTCCTCTCCTGTTCCCTCCCGGCCCAGGTCTGAGCTGTGTTTCATGTGTGGATCAGCCTGCTCTGTGTGTACTGCAGAGTGGAATCTAGGAAGCACTGGCAAGGATGGTCCAAAACACTGGATCATATTTTTTAAAAAAATTGTGTCCGCTTCGCACAAAGCCTCATTGCGTTTTTTTCTAGCAGCAAATTTGCCACCTTCGGGACATCACATTTAGGCTAATGTTACGTGTGAACCCAGAGCATCACCCAACAGATGGGGCCATTTCTTAGGCTAAATTTAGCCTCATTTGGCCACACCCCTTGATCAAATTAGTGGCAGGAGGTTGAGGCGGGGGACAGTAGGATGATGGTAGTGGGGGTAGGCTAATTCATTAGAGTGAGCTCTGGCTGGGGGTGAGGGGTGGTCACTACCAGCTGGTTTAACTTTAAAGTGTCCCCAGAGTGTGAAGGGCTCTGTTTTATTCATTCTTATACTTCCAGTTTGCCCTTGGGGGACGGGCTGCCCTGGGCCTGGTCCAGTGAACTGGGGTTAGTCTGGTACTGCCGTCCAGCCCCGTTTAGAATGTGCTCCACCTTTTCTTCCCCATAGTCCTCTCCCAGAGGAGCTGGACATGAACCTTCCTGGAACTCCTCCGCTGTCCCCCCCACCCCACCCCACCAGCCCCAGCTGCAATTCAAATAGCTGCAGAAGGATCGTTCTGAGCCACAGCAAGACCATTCCAGATTAATTCAGAGGAAGGGGCTGGGCAGTCTGGGAATGGCCTTTCCAGAGTGGGTGGGATGTGGGGTGTTTGCTGCCCGTAACCTCTGCCTGCGCATCCAAGGCTCTGCCTGGCCCTGTTTGGGAAGGAACAGGGTTCTGTCTGGCTGGGTGGCCGACGTCAGGAGACTAAACACAGGCTTCCTGGTGGTCCTTGTCCTTCCTCTGCCCCCGGGAGCTAGTGTGACTCAAAGGCGGTGTGCCCTCAGAGCATCCGGGCTGGAGAGCACACAGGATGTACCCCGTGAGGACCAAGCGCCAGCATCCTGCTGCAGGCCCGGCCTTGCTGGGTAGCAAAATGTGAGGCAGCCTCCAGGGAAGGCAGCGGAGTCCTCAGTGGGCCTGAAATCTGGTTAAAGAGGGTGGGCTCATTGTAGGGAACTATGGGGAGCTGCTGTGCTTGGCTCTGAGGCTCTCCGCCCCACTTTTCTTACCAACAAACCTAAGAGTCATCTCTGGGGCACAAGCTGGGACATTTGGCCTTGAGGCAGGAGCACAATGACCAGTGGGTGGCTGCCGGAAAGTTCTTCTTCCTTGATAGCATGTTCCACCACCCACTAGAGCATGTTCTGACTCATCATCTCTCAAGACCCCAGAATGGGTAGTAGCCAGGCTTCAGAGGAGCATATTCTTTGCCCGTGTGCTGGAGCAGCTCCTAGAGGGCTCCCCAAAGGGGACCAGCAGCCTGTTGGTGACTGGCCCCAGCATTGCCCTTTTGTGCATCACAGCAGTCTTTGGATGTAGGTGATGACACTGGCCCATTTGCAGTTGGGGAAACTGAGGAGGCTGCTAGGCTTGCCTAGGGCCACACTAACCCAGACGGCCTCACCTGGGAGCCCTTGACCCCACAGCTCTGCTTGTGGCCTCTACCAGCAGTCAGGACCCAGGGCTGGGTCAGGGGCCTTATCTGAACCCACTCTCTACCCCCAGACAGATTACTTCCACCTTTTCATCTGCGTGGCCATCGTGGCCATCTACGGGGATGATGTCATAGAGCAGCAGCTGGCCACTGACCAGATGCTTCTGCACTTTGGAAACCTGGCCATGCACATGAATGGGGAGCTTGTTCTCAGGAAGGTGAGTGTGGCCCCCAACATGCAGCCCTGCCCTCCCTTATATAGAACCCCACGTCTACTTCCAGAGCTCCACCCCTACAGGGCCCCCTACAAGCTCCACCCCCCACATTTGTAGATTCCTGCCCACATGCAGAGCCCTGCCTCAACTCTCCATCCTGGGAGCTCCCCACCAAGGTCAGCATGTATGGCATCTGCTCAGGGCACCCATCAGGCTGACAAAAGAGGCCCCTCTCCTCGTGGAAGGAACAGATTACCCATTTTGACAGACAGGTCCTCCACCGTGAGGCACCTCACTCATAGCCCAGAGCTGAGAAAACTAAGCAGGAGGCTTAGGGAGGGGAGGTGGCCAACCCTTCATCCAAGGTTAGTGGGATAAAGGGGGCCTTTGCCACCTCCCTACTTCCCAGGCTCCTGCTTCTTAAAGCTTTCTGGTGTTTTCCAGGGGCAGCGAGGAGGGCCTGGGGTCAGGGGTGGAGTGGGCAGGAAGAGGGCTTGAAGAAGTCCTGCAGGGCAGAGAGGTGGAGCCATGGGGCCAGGCTAAGCCAGGGAGGGACAGGGTGGGCCCTGTTCCCCTTTCATATGAAGGCCATTAGGGGAGCCATCTTTGGGTCTAGCTGCATGGGAGCGCGGCTTGTGAAACTTTATAGCCCCTGCCTTCAGCTGGATCAGGGTGTTGAAAGGGGTGAGGCAGGCAGAGCCCTCGCCCTGACCTGGCGTAAGGAGCACCTTCGGGTGCTGACTGTTGTTGCTCTTGGATCGCTAGCTGCCCGCTGTCCCTCATCATCACTGTCCTCTCTGTTTGCAGGCGAGGAGTTTGCTGTACCAGTTTCGCCTCTTGCCGCGGATCCCCTGTAGCCTGCATGACTTGTGCAAGCTGTGTGGGACTGGCATGTGGGACAGCGGTTACATGCCTGCCGTGGAGTGTACGGGCCAGCACCCAGGGTCGGAAAGCTGCCCGTACGGGGGTACCGTGGAGACACCTTCCCCCAAGCCCCCCAGAGAAGGCAGGAAGGGTCCAAAGACGCCCCGAGAAGGCTTTAGTTTCCGCAGATAGGCTGGGCTCCCTGCGCTGGACGAGGGGTGCGGGGACCTCTGCCAGGTCCCAAGCATGAGGGAGGGGGTGGGGATGGGCGTGGAGGGGACAGGATGGTAGAAACGGAAGGAAAATGCCCTTGAGCAACATGAAGGGAAACTTTTTGTATTAAGGACAAAATTGGAGTCCGGAAGTGCCAGAAATAAAACCTGCCAGCTGCCCAGAGAAAAGTCGGCTCCCCAAACAGCAGGACCAGGATGCACAACCACCCTACCTGGAGATGCAGGCTGGCTGGGTTCTCGTGTTGCCCACCTTTGATGGATCTCAACACAACCCAGGAGTTCCTCCAGCTTCGTCAGCCACCAAGGGTCTTATTGCCAGGCATTGGGAAAGGCAGAGACAGTAGGAGAGAGACAGCACTGGGGAGCCCAGAACAAGAGGGTCCCATCCAGGCCCAGAAACATCTTTGCAAACTGGGCACACCCCCTCATTAGGCTTCATTCTTTGAATGAATCAAACAGACTCCACAGCTTCTCCAGCCACAACTGCAAAGCTGATGTGAAGACATCTGCCAAAAAAAAAAAAAAGGCCCCACTGATTTCAGGGTAGAAAGGTTTAAGAGCAGAAGGCTGGGGGTTTTCACATCTGATCCTCTTGGTATGTGAAGAAATATGCTGCCCATGAGCCTGAGTACGGGCTGTTGAAGTGTTGAATTCTTCTCCCTTAGTTGAAGAATCGTCTACATTCGGCAGTGTTGAAGGCCATTTTCACCAAATACTGCGACCAACTTGGGGTTGGATGGGTCGAGGTGTGTATGTGTGTGTGTGCACACAAAATTCTCTGAAGGGAACCTGCAGTGTTTGAGGGAAGGGACACAGTGTGAACTGACCAACCGAGACAAAGGCAGCTGAAAGTGCCAGAAACACTCCCACTTCCCTGCGGGGTCTGCGTTCTGCCGTGACTGCAGACCTTCTGTAAGTCAGCGTCGCAGGTGGTCAGATGCGCTAGCAACCACTGTACAACAGCCGTCACTCAGGGCACCCCTGCTTTCTGTGTGGGAACCAGGTCTTCCCAGCACACTCTCCCTGCTCCCAGAGCCTCCCCAGCTGCTCCTTCTNGTGGTCAGATGCGCTAGCAACCACTGTACAACAGCCGTCACTCAGGGCACCCCTGCTTTCTGTGTGGGAACCAGGTCTTCCCAGCACACTCTCCCTGCTCCCAGAGCCTCCCCAGCTGCTCCTTCTGGGGTTTAGAGGACAGACCAGGACACAGGAAGACTCCCAGCCAGCATAGAGGACTGGAGCTATTTGCACGGGAAGCCGCCCTCTTGAACTGACAGGAACAAGGAGCCTGGAATCGATGTTCCTTGAATCTTCCTGAACATCCTTCTAGGGAGAAAAATCCTTGAAGTGCTGAGAGTCATCACAAAGACACAGCCCAACCAAGGCTTCTTCCTGCCCTCAGCTTTTCTCACAGAGTGGACGCTGCTGGATGGCGCCACTTTAAAAAGTTGTTTATCAACAGGAAGGAGGGAGTTATCAGCCTCTTTCCTTCTCAGCTTCTCTATGAACCCATGTCCTCCAGCGGGCAGAAGACTGACACTGGTACTTCCAGGTTCCTGACACCTCTGTCCAAGAGCCTTTTGGGGAGACTATCCTGGAGCCCCATCAATGCCCAGATCTTGGGGTACCAACCATTATAGTCCAGCAACAGGGTCCAGGCTGGATAGACTTCTCATCTGCTCAGCTTCTGGGAAAAGAGGATTGCCTTTCCATCCAGAGGATGGCTCCTGATCCATTATGGAGGAGGCTTGAGTTACACAGGCACTGTGTTGACCCTCCTCTAGAGACCACATCTCCATGAACAGGCATATCAGTTACCCATTGCCACAGTAATGCTGCATAACAAATAGCCCCCAAACATGGCAGCCTCAAATAGCATGCACTTAGCTAGCCCTTGGGTCTGTGGGGCAGCAGCTCCAGCTGGGCAGTTCTGGTCTGGGTTGGGCTATTAAGTCCCAACAGGGTGCTCACACATGTAGAGGTGTGTAGAGGTCAGATGTGGCTCTGCTCCATGCCTCTTGCATCCTTCCCACAAACCAGTCCCGGCCAAGGCAAAGGTGCAGAATCAGAAGTGTGTAGGCACCTTCCCAAGCCTTGACAGATGCTACCCCTCCTCATCATCCCATTGGCCAAAACCAGTCACATAGCCAGACTCAGCATCTAAGGGTGGGGAAATGGACCCTTCTCTGCAGTAAAGAAGTCGCATGCCTAGGGGCTAGGGATTCAGGGAGGGGTGAGGAGCCAGGTAGGGAGCTAGAACAAAACATTACCGCCACAAAATCCTGGTCCAGATAACAGTTTTGGAACTCGCCTTTTACCAGGGGCATGACTTCCTCCTGAAGGGACTGGAGATGTCTAAGCGGGGAAAAGAGTGCTCCCCTCCCTTCTTCTGTAGCCAGAGTGCATCTGCACATTTTCTGATACCTTGTGCCTTTGGGCTGCTGTGTGGGGTGGAGGGAGAGGGGTCCCAGGTTCCCTCACTTTGAGGGTCCTGGGTGGAAAGCACTCATTCTGAACCTCCCAGCTCCCACAACCCCTCACCCTCACAGCTCCCCAAGACCTTGTACCAAGTGCCACCCCCGCCTTCACTGCTCCCACCTCGCATTCTGTGTGCTGGGCCAGGCCCCAGTGTGGTCTGGACTTCGTGGAGCAGCCAGGACCTCAAAAAGCCGAAGACCTGGGTATATGGGCTCTGTGAGGTCCCACTGCTCCGGAGGGATGGAGAAAGCCCGCCCTTATACGGCTCCCTTAATCTGGATGCAATTAGAGGAAACCAGCCAAAAACCCTGCGGCAGCTGTTGCCCCAGGATTATTCCCAGCCAGCAAAAGGCATTAGGGTGATAATTCAGTCATTAGACTTCTAGCCTTCCCACCACCAGAACGTGCAAATTCGGGATAATCAGCCCGGCACGGCCATCTTCCGCGATGCTGCTTATTTAACTCATTTTTTAAAAATGACACTTAATGTTATTGGCTGGTGTGCGTGTGCACGCATACTTACAAGTTTCCCCACTGCTAATGTCTGTGCTGATGTTACCTGGTGTCGTTGGGGCCTCTGGGAAGAGAGGGCACCTTTGATGTGCACGTGCTGGCCAGGAAAGGGCAGAGGGGCACAGACTCACCAGCCCAGTGTGGGGTTCACCCTCCCAAGGAAGGGGAGACAATGGCAGAATGAAGGTGGGTGATGCACAAGCTGGAGAAACAGTGGGATTGGGGTCTGATTAAGTGCAGAGGGGAACAGTGTGCTATTCCAGAAGGTTCTGACTTAAGTCCCAGCAGGGAAGACTTGGAACTCACAAATCAGGGAATTGGTGTTCTTGAGCCAATTAGAGAGGCAGGGATGGGCAGGCTGGGGAGGACCCGCCTCCAGCCCAGTCCATCTCTGCAGAGGAGGAGGGTCTGCAGTCCAGAAGGGCAGTTCCATTGGCAGCCATGGTCTGGACGCTATTAGCAGGCAGCACTGTGTTGTCTTGATTGGACAGGACAGTGTCAGGCAGGACAGAGGTTTTTGAATCCAGGACCTTTGAGTTTTCCGTCAAAGCCTGCTGGGGGCAGACAGCTAGACAGGATGAAGATGCTGGTCCTGAAATGAGGGCAGAAGTGGCTGGCAGAGGTCCCCCAGCTCTGACCTTTGATTCGGAAATGGGGCAAAATTTGTGAATGGTAGTTAGGGGGCCTCTGTGGCTCTCCCTGGTGTTTTGTGAGGTCCCTCTGAGCTCTCTCGTCTGCGTCTTGTTTGGTAGGAATAGCTGGGAAGGGGCAGCTATAACAGAGGGAGACTGGGTGGTGGCAGGAGGACCTGGGCTCACCCTGCCGAGGGAAGGAAGCCTCTTCCAGTTTGTCTGCCCAGCAGAGGCCTCTAGAGCTGCCCTGCCTCAGAGGAAGGAGGCGGAGCGTTCCCGGGAAATCCCACACACACGTGCAGGGGTGTGGCCAGCTTGGGAGCTGTGCCATGAACCCACAGCAAGGGGAGGGAGCCTGTGGGTCTGGCCTGAGCCTGGGCACTTCCCCTGGAGATCCTGGGGAACCAGATGGCCTAGGATCTGATTAGCCTTGGATTTCTAAGCCAGGCTGCAAGGCCTTCCCTCCAAGTGAAAGCATTCTGTCCTCAGCCATCCCTGGCTCAGAAGAGGGAACTGCCCCCACAATTGTGAAGCCTAAGAACAGGGCTCCTCTACTGAGGGTGAGCAGTGCTGTATGGAAGGAAGACACTTACCTAGGGGTCAGGAACCTGGTTCCCATCCTGTCTCTGACCCTTTCCAGGTGCGTGACCTCCCCACCCTGAGCCTCGGTTCCCTCATCTGTAGAAAGGAAACACTGCCTCTGGCTTAGCCCACCTCACAGGACTAGTGCAGGGACTCTCCAGGTGAAGGTGTCATGAAGATGGTTTCCCAGCCCCGGGGGCCTCATTTGCCACTCAGGGAAGAGACCACTGACCTTGGCCTTGCAGCCTTGGCCGAGAGGCAGCGTGCTTCAGGAGTCAGCAAACCCCCTCCCTTCCACACATCCGCCTGACTGTGCGTCCCCAGCTGGGGGGACTCCTCTGTGCCTCTTCTGTGGAATTCACCCCATGCCACCTCACTCCTGCCACGGGGAAGACCCACCGTGAGCCGTGACCTTGGTGACCCCGAGAGACGTGTCTGTGGGCAGCGTGACTAGCTCTGCTAGCCCTGCATCAGGACGTGGCCCAGGCCTCAGGGTCCTCCCCTGGGACTGTGAAACCCACTTGAGCCTGGGCGTGGGGACGGGGCTGTGGCCTTCTGAGACAGGCTGTAGAGACTGGGGAGGGATGTCCCTGGGCCTCTGGGGGGCAGAGCGGGCATGCAGACAGGCTGCAGGCATCTGGTCGTTAAGCACATTGCGCTCAATTTCTAGGTAGGAAAGTACGTTTCCGGTTGAGAGATCAAGTCACTTGGTCATCTTCTCTCCAGAACTTTGGGTTAGTCAGAGGGCAGGGTTTCTGTTGGGAAAGTTTAAAGAAATTTCCACCATTACCAAGAGATCACTGATGTCTGTGGCAAGCAATTCGTTCTCTGTATTTTATTTTGTTTTTTAAATGTGATCACCCGCTGCCCCAGGCTCGGGACTGGCCACTCTGACTGCTGGGGCCCCAGCCCCCACAGTGCTTCCGGCTCTCGTGGATCCCACTGCAAAGTAAATAAAATCATACTGACAACAAACATATGCTCTGCGGCACCTCTAAGAGGTCTGACAAGGTTTGTTAGGTCCAAATGTGGCAGGTTCTGGTGCTGAGTGAAGAGGGCCCCCATGGAAGAGTAAGGAGGGCCAGAGGGCTGGCCAGTGGCAGGCCCTGCTGTGGGGAGCCTGGCCGGTGGCCCAGGGGTCCATCAGGCATCTGAAGGGGACAGGCGCTTGGCCTGCTAGAGGGGAGCAGCTGCTTGCCTCCCTGATGGAGAGTTAATGGGCAAGCGCCCATGAACCCCAGTAACTGAGGGCCCTGAGACCGGCCCCAGCACCTGGAAACACACAGCGTTTTATTGAGAAGTAGCTGCTAGGCCTCCAAT